TTCTTTTCTGCTTTTCGTTAGCTTAGCCAATGGCATGTCAATTTTGTTTATATTTTCAAAGAACCAACTTTTTGTTCTGTTAATCTCCTGAATAGCTTCCCTGTTTTCAATTTCGTTTAGTTCTGATTTGATCTTGTTGATTTCACTTCTTCTGCTGGGTTTTGTGTTGGTTTTTTCTTCTTTTTCCAGCTCTTTGAGTTGTTTTGTTAGATTGTCTATTTGTGATCTTTTCGTCTTTTGGTTATAGGCATTTATGGAGATAAACTTTCCTCTCAGAACTGCCTTAGCTGTGTGCCAGAGGAGTTGATAACTTGTCTCTCCATTGTCATTTTCTTCATAGAATTTTTTTATTTCCATCTTGATTTCTTCATTTATGAAGTAATCATTTAGTAGGAGGTTGTTTAATTTCCATGTTTTTGTGTAGAAATGTGAGTTTCTGTTAGGGTTGATTTCTACTTTTATTCCACTGTGATCTGAGAAGGTACATGGTATGATTTCTATTTTTTAAAATTTCTTGAGGTTTACTTTGTGTCCTAGGATATGGTCAATCTTAGAGAATGTCCCGTGAGCTGATGAGAAGAATGTATATTCAGTGGATTTTGGGTAGAATGTCCTGTAAATGTCAGTCAGACCCAATTGTTCCAGAGTTTTGTTTAACTCCATTATTTCTTTATTAATTTTCTGTTTGGAGGATCTGTCTTGTTCCGTCAGTGGGGTGTTGAGATCTCCAGTGATTATGGAGTTGCTATTAATCCATTTGCTTAGATCCAGTATGGTTTGCTTTATGAAACTGGGTGCACCTAAGTGGGGTGCATATATATTTAAAATTGTTATCTCTTCTTGTTGAAGTGTGCCCTTCACCATTATATAATGACCCTCTTTGTCTTTCACTACTTTTGTTAGTTTAAAAACTGAATTGTCTGAAATTAGAACTGCCACTCCAGCCTTCTTTTGGCTCCACTTGCCTGGAATACTGATCTCCACCCTTTTACTTTTAGTCTATATGCATCCTTGCAGGTTAGATGTATTTCCTGAAGACAGCATAGACTTGGCCTGTATTTTCTTATCCATTCAGCCAGCCTATGTCTCTTGAGTAGAGAGATTTAAGCCATTCACCATTTATTGAGAGGCTGATAGGTAAGGAGATTACTGTTCTTCGTGTTTGGTTTGTGGCTTCGATTTGTCGCTTGAGCCATTGTATACCCGTGCTTATCGTTGGATGTTTTTTATTCTTGATTTTATATGGTGTCTGTGCGTAACACTGTTTTGAATGTCTTGTAGGGCTGGTCTTGGTGAAGATCCTGAGCACTTGCTTTCTGAGATTCTTATTCTCCTTCATATGATGAACTATTGAGAATAAGATTTAGCTGGATTGTTTTGTTTCAGGAGAGGAAAGGGCCCAGTCTTTCTTGCTTGAAAGCTCATAGAGAAGTCTGGGTATTCAAAGGCGACAAAGTTGTATTCACTGCTCTTTCATCTTACAGCTCTAGAAGGGCCCTCTAATTGAATTTTAACAGTCTGAGACTGCATTTCGTGAAGTCTTCCGTTTGCATTGAATCCCAGCGTCTCGACTTCTTTGAACTGTATAATTGAGATTTGAGCAAGCCTGGAAATTTCCTCTATTATATTCTCAAGAT